CCAGGGATCAGTTGCAGATGTTGACAGGAGTCAGGGGTGTCTGCTGGTCTAGAAACATGCCCAACCCACAGGGCCGGTCTTGGGATGTGGGGCAGGGGAGGAGCCCATGGCCAGGGACCCACCCGTTGTGGTCCAAGAAGCACCAACTCGACTCTGTGTGGAAGAGGCTGAGCAAACGCAGGTGGCCCATGGAGTGGCCCAGGCAGCTTGAGCCAGGTGACACAGAGCAAGACATTGCATCCGTGAACATCAATTTCTTCTGAAAAAATGGGCATGGTGATTCATGGCTATACATCACATGTCTCAGAATGTATGAGTTCTCTTCTCCCTGAGGATTTCCCATAAGATATGATCTCAGACCCCCAGTTAAGCTTCTCTCTGACTCCAAACTCAGCCCAGCAGGGCAGGTAGGCAAATCTGATGCGTAGCTGTGCTCTACCACTTGGACGACTGTATGACCTTGAAACCTGATTCAGTCTCTGGGCTTCAGCATTTTGACCATTGGTTTTCTGAAGATGGACTGGACTGAAGATGGCCCAGCCAGCCCTGGGCCCAGGTATTAGAATCTCAGAGTCCCAATCAAGAGCACCTCCTTCCGCCTCCCTCACCTTTTCTAGCACCCTGCATTTTGTTTCTCAGGGGTTGGAGGACTGAGGCAAAGCAAAAAGGGAGAGCCAGAAGCCTCAGGATTATGGAAGAGGAGAGTAGCTTTGGCCCAGTCTGGCCCTTCTGGGAGGTGGGCAAGGCCCTCCCAGGTGGCTACTGTCTGATTCCTTGGCTGATTATGGCGAACCAATAATGCTCGGCTTTTGGTGGCATGTATTTCTCCGGTCCCAGGTCCAATAGTGCAGAGGGGCATAAGGCACGGGGACCAGTGGCCAGTGCAGGTGCAGCTAGCAGAGGAACTCAGGCAGGATGTGAGCCTAGCCTCCAGGCTCCAGCCACACACCAGGCCCATGAGGACAGGGACCAGAGCCTCCTCCCTGTGTCTCCACCCCAGTTCCCCTTCTAGATCCCGTGACCCTGAGCAGACGCTGCTCCACATTGCTGGCAGACAGCTGACCAAGCCACTGGCATGGGTGACAGTCCTGCCCACCTCACCCACAGTGAAGGCTGCCGGAATGGGCTGACCTCAAGTCCCGGATCCACTACTGACTGGCTCTTCTGGGCTTCTTCATTTGTAAGATAGCTACAAATGATCCTGTCATAACTCTTAGGGCTACGGTGTGAATCTCCTGAGATGGTCAACGTGATGGCGCGTGACGGGGGACAAGGGAACTAACTAAGTGCTTCCCTACGTCATCTCTTTAAACCCTCATGACAACAATCCTAACAGGGAGGTACTATTATCATCCCATTTTACAACCAAAGGTACTATGGTTCAGAGAGGCTAGGTCACCTGCCTGAGGTCACACAGCTGCTATGTGGCTGGCCCAGAGGGGACCTGGGTCTGTGTGGCTCCAGACCCATCTATGCACACCTTCCACACTGCACTTGTGGCTTTGGTCAAGCTCTTCACAAAGGCAGGAACTGTTGTCATTATTATTGTTATTTCATAAAACCCGAGGTTATGAAAGGTTTTCCTTTTTCACTCTGCCTCTCTTTTTCTTGACGGGGAGAAAAGCAAACTACATAGCCTGCTAATTTCTGCAGTCTCAGACAATCAGAATTCCAACTGTCTGGGAGAGCCAACCTAAGAAAGCAAGAAATTAATCTTTTCAAAGTTAACGTCTTCGAGGCGTTGCAGCAGTATTTGGGTTGGACGTACCCTCGCTATCCTAACACAGATGAAACCCCAAATTTAATAAGGCTAAGACAACTCAGACAACATAAGAAACATAACAGGATATTGCAAAGAGATTAGGGAGCTTCCTCTGGATGGCGTGGATGGTCCAGGGAGAGAGCAGAGCAGGGGGTGGGGTACGGATGGCACGGTCCACCTCAGGGCCCCCCGAGAGCTGAGACCCGATCCTGGGGCGGGCCCGAGGACTTGGGCAGAGGGCAGGCGGCTCCTGGCCGCACCTCCAGGCCTGCTGGGTGCGTGAGCAGAGAGGGCTAAATGTAAACCAGCTGGCAGGGACCAGAGCGGTACAGTTGGATGGGGCGGGGAAGGCTTACCTCATGAAAGAACTGTGGAAACGGCTGCTGGAAAGATAATAAAAGGATTAACTGCTATTTTAGTGGGCCATTTACTCTTCAATCAAAGTGTCTCATCTATTTCCTGTTCTCCAGAGGATCTGGGTCCAAAATTCCTTTGTCTATTACAGCACATGGTAGCAGAGGCCTGTCATGAGAAATTAATAATTCTACAGGGAAGGGAGACTGTATTTATTTGGGTGCGGGCTGGGGCCTGCCCCTTCCCCTGGGTCACCCACTGCACCAGCATCACAGGAAGGGGGAGTGCTCCCCCGGCAGACGGGAAGATGGTCAGAGGAGGTCTCTGCCACCACTCCAGATGAGGGCACCCAGCTGGACTGGCCCGGGGACCCCAGAGAATGAGGGTAACAGGACAATCTACGCAAACAGAAGCATTACAGTTTAAAAAGATGTGGTTTCGGATTTCACTCTAAGCATTACTAGATGTGTAACCTCAGGCAAGTTATTTTTATTGTTGTTACTATTATTGCTATGACGACAACAACGACTATCAGTCTCTGTCATTATTGTTGTTGTTACTGTTTGCCCCTAACTAGCTGCATGACCTGGGGCAAATTAAGCAATCTTTCTGAACCTCAGTTTCCTCATCTGTAAAATGGGAGTTAACAGGATCTACCCTGTAGAACTATTATGAGGACTGCCTGGAAGTATTGCTTAGGATGGTTTCTGCACACAGTCCACACTCAGAGGCTGCTTGCTGGTGTTATCATCAAAATCCTGAACCCTTCAGGAGGCAAGATAAAGTGTTCTCATAGTAGCACGTAGAAGGCTGGCTGGACTCCACCAAACCCTTGTTTGTTCATCTGTAAAACCTTAGTTTTATGGGACTTTAGTAAAGATTAAATGTAACCATGGGTGAATACAGACAGCTTGAACGTCACCTCCTCCAAGAAGCTCTTCTGGGCCTCCTGTTCTAGGGTCTATGCAAACTCCATCCAGAGCCTGTCCACACCCATCTCCCACCCTTACTGACCACGACTGCCTGTAGGCAAAGACCTTGGAAAGTCTACGTCTGGGTCCCCAGAGCCAGGCATGAGTCAGGTGTAAGCCAGTGTTCTCTGCAGTCTGTTGAACCCAATGAAATCCTGGCAGGCCCAGGAAAGAGAACCACAGAGAAAGATCCCCAGATTGCACTGAGTAAGCGGTGCCTCTCTGACCCAATTACTAGGCCTCTGTTTCCTAGAAAACGGGCAGGGAAGGCTGGATTGTCTTGGGGTCCGTGCTGTATTACACAGGCACTACTGGACCGCACCGCGCCAGGGTCTGGGCCTCCATGCCGGCCCCCACACACACCAAGGGGCTCCCCCACAGGAGAGAAGACATCAGGGACTGCCACGCAACAGCTGTCAGCTCCAGGGTCTCGGAGACGGTGCCCTCTGTCCGCCAGGAGTCTGCTGGTCATCTCCTTCCAGAGACGGGGGGCATGCCTTTCAGCAAGCCATGTGTCACAACACCCCAGATGAACGGGGGCATCCCCAGGACTGGCCTGGCCACCAGCCCTTTCCAGCATGGCTTCAGCCCCAAGGCACATGACAAAGTCAAAATCCTCAGCCTGCCCAGTCCAGCCCCTCCCCCCAGCACCAGCGCGCCAACCACAGGCTCCCTCCTAGTCCTGTCCTTTCCCAGAGGCTGTTCACTGCCTCTCCTCCTCATCCTTCAGACCTGTCCCCGCCTTGAGGGTCGAGCTGGATGCTCAGACCAGAGTACCACAAGAACACAAGAAGATGGGGCCCCAAGGGTGACCGCCTGGTCCCAGGAGGGTGGAGTTTCTACTGCTGGTCGCCAAAGCTTCCTGCCTCCCCCCCCGCCCCCCGCCGACCCAGCCCCTGTAAATACAACCCTGGGCCTTGAGCAGGGACAGAGGCCAGCTCTGTCCCAGACTGCATGCTTCACGAAGAGGGGTCCAGCACCTCACAGCATGCATGTGAGGGGGCACTCGACAGCTACGATGCTGGCCTTGCAGAACAGACAACACTGCTTTCTCCCCTGCCTCACCAACGCCCCAGTGGCTGGAAGACGGAGCTGGGCCCTGGAAGACTGACTGGCTCCTCTGGCCCTTCCACTCCCAGGCAGGAACCTCTCCCTGCAGGGTGGCTGGGCCTCAGAGTTAGACACAGAAGCTCGGCTGAGGGGATCAGGAACTAAGACAGATATGGGTTTCTAGTACCATGAGAGCACAACATGGAAGTGACCAGTCTGAAGGGCTGGAGGCCTCAGTGCTCACTTAGCACGTGTGTGCGTGTGTCCCTAGAAACCTCAGGCTCAACTCCAGCCGTGTCACTGCAGGTGTACCCAGGGCCCTATCTGTTAGCCCTCACCTAACCTCAAAACCTGCTCCAGGGGCCCAAGCTCTCGAGCCAGTTGCTTGTGAGGACACAGGGCTACTCGGAGGAATCCAAGCCCAGGGGCTGCTCCGAGGCCTGGAGAGCCACTCTGGGAAGGCCACCAGATGAAGGCCCAGTGCTGGAGGAGAGCATGTGCCCCACAACTCACTTGACCAAGGGTGGGTGAGACATTGAGCATCTGTGTGCAATACAGAAGGTGGCCAGGCCTGCTCTGACCTCAGAGTGTGTTGTCACCACCTGAACAACGGTATGCCCTGGGGCAGGGACGGGCACCTGGTGAGCAAGGGAGCCAAGGTTCCCGATGACGGGGACGCTGACTGTCTTGACCAGTGACCACATCCACAGCCCTGGTCCTCTCCACCTCGAGCACAGGGGATCTCAGCCGGCCCTCAAGGAAGGAGCCCCAGGTGGGCAGCTCCTAGCCTGGAAGTGGGGGCCACTCCGCTTGGCCAGGCAGGGGCATGGCCCAGTGGCCGGGGGGTGGGGGGGGGGACTCACCATGCATTTGTTGGGCTTCTCACCCGAGTGCACCCTCATGTGGATGAGCAGCTTATAGCGGGCGTTGAAGGGCTTGTAGCGGCGCACGCAGCCCGCCCAGAAGCAGGTGAAGTCCTCGCCCTTCCGCTGGTCAATGTGGCTCTTCTCGATGTGCCGCACCAGCTCCTCCTGCTGCTCATAGGCTGCACGGCAATCCACCCAGCGGCATGCCTGCCGGCCGGCCACACCCCTACCCACCAGGCCCAGCCCCAGGCCTCCAAGGCCCGAGCCGGGCGGCAACTGGGACACGGGGTAGGGGGGCGGCAGGCCCTGCTGGTGAGGCCCAAAGAGATCTGAGAACTCGTCCGTGGGCTCCTGCTTCAGGAAGCCTGCCTTCCGGCAGGCTTCAAATTGCAAGCTGCCCTCGTGGCTCTCCGTGGTTGCAGGGCCAAGCCGGGCTCGCTTGGGAGGCCCCCCGAGGTCTCCTGGCAGGGGGGGGCTCCGGAGTCCATTTACGCAGGTGACCAGGGCCGTCTGGGAAGAGCGGATGATGGAGGTGACATCGGAGGAAGCGCAGGGGGAGGGAGAGGCTGAAGAGGTGGAGGGCAAGCCCAGGAGGCAGCAGCGCTTCAGGCCGCTCTCGGGGAGGTGGGCCTCGGGCTGCGGGCCCAGTGGAGGGCTCGGTTCACTGCCCAGAAGGTAGCAGGAAGGTGCGGGGTTGGCGAGGCCCCGGCCGGGCAGGTCCAGGTCTGAGTGCAGGCCAGTGGCTGGCGGGGCCCGGCAGTGAGCTGACAGGGGCATGCGGGCCTCCGTCATGGCCCGGTAGTCAGGCAGGGACTCCTGCTTGATGTGCTGTGCGGCCGGAAGGCCACCATTCATGTACACGGCCTGGGGTCTGGGCGACCTAAAAGACAGTGAGCAGAGAAGCTGTGAGAGGGTAGGCACGCCACAGCGGGGAGACCCAGGTAGGGGATGGCAAGAACCGAGGGATGGAGAAGCCCAGAGTGGGAGTGGAGGCTGAGGGCCAGAAGCACAGGGAGAGAGAAAGCAGAGGCTGGATGTGGTCAGTAGGGAAGAATATGGGGGAGAGAAAAAGGGGAGGGGCTGTGGAGAAGTTCCAGAAGGGCAGGGGGTCTGAAAGGGATGCCAGGAAAGAGCATGGTTTCACCCTTGTGCCCTCTCCAGCCCCAGAGCCCACCCTGTCCTGTCGCTGAGGCTCCGTAGGGTCTTCCCTGACCTCCTCCCTGTGACCTTCTAGTGAGTTCTGGAGAAAGGAGGCTGAGGCTGTAACATTTTGAGGAACATCCAGGTCCAGAATGTTTTACTTCTCATTTTTTAAATTTATTAAAAAAAATTTTTTAACACTTATTTTTGATAGAGCACGAGCAGGGGAAGGGCGGGCGGGGGGTGGGGGGAGACACAGAATCCGAAGCAGGCTCCAGGCTCTGAGCTGTCAGCACAGAGCCCAATGTGGGGCTCGAACCCATGGACCATGAAATCATGCCCTGAGCCCACGTCAGATGCTTAACCTACTGAGCCACCCAGGCGCCCCCAGGTTCAGTATGTTTTAAATTCTGCCTACTTGTTCCTCAGATCTTTCTTAATTTTTGTAGTCTTTGTTAATTTCTAGAAATGTTAACTATGTGGCATTTTGCCCCAAGCAATCTCTTTTCCACAGTGAACATCAGTAAGCTGGGGGTCTGAAACACAAGGCACGCCGATAGGGGGCACCCCAGGAATGGCTGAGGGAAAGCCAGGTGGGGTTCCCAGTGTTTCAAGCCCAGACACTGTGACTACATGAAACGCAACTCTGGGGTGAGGCTGCAGGCAGGCAGGCCAGGAGGACAGCTCGGGGAGGGGGAGGTGGAAGCCTGGGGTCTGAGACCAGGCTCAGCCACTCCCAGCGGCACCAAGCGGGGCGAGGCACTCTGGGTCCCTCTCCTCATCCCACGTTCTTCTCTTGAGTGTGACTACAGTGTGACACGGGGGGCTGCGCCATCTTCATCAGGCCCGTGGTGCACGCGTTCATAGACAGGGCCTTTCCCACATGCAGGACAAGTCAGTGCAGGTAGCGGCAGCACGGCCTCCAGCCACCAGCAAGGTGAGGTGGACGAAGGGTCAGAGAAGCCCCTGGGCTGGCCGGGCAGAACAAGAAGCCTGCTGACAGGTCTGCTGTCGTGACTAGGACCCCTGACATGGCCTTGGGCCCGAGCCTCAGTTTCCTCATCCGTGAAGCAAGGACTAACCCTCACTCCCTCAGAGGGTGGCTGCCAGGATCAAGTGGGATGGCAGAGGCCGTGATAGTCCTCTGGAAAGGGGACGGCAGGGTGAACGGTGCCTTCATGGCAGCCATATCGCCACCAGCATTCTGGAGCTCTTTGCAGAGGGGTTGGGGGCCCTGTTCTCCAAAGGGGCCCTGCAGTCCCAGCCCCTCCGTCTCTGGCTCCCTGCAGCCACGGCAGCCCCGGCACTACTCAGGAGCAGGAGGGGAGATGAAGGGGCAGGGGAGATGGGAAGGCAGAGCCCTGAGGCCCTCAGAGAGCATGGGCTCCAACCTCGTGACTACACAGACAGGAAAGGGGCCAAGAAGGTGCAGGTCTTGCCCACAGTCATGAGCAGCAAGCCAGTGATAGGGCTGGGGCCAGGAGCCACGCTCCCCATTTCTCTAGTGTAGACCCAAAGCATCCCCGGATAAAGGCTTGCGGGAAGGCCTTTCTGTTTCTCAGCTACACTTGACCAATCTCTGCCTCCCTCAGCAAAGACCTCCCTTCCCTGTCCAGAGCTCGGCCACTGGCTGGAACCAGAAGGTTCCTGCATTCCAAGGTGGGCAGGCCTGGGGACGCTGGGCCACCACTGGCAGCAGAAAGCTCTGAGGAGCTCAAAGATCTGATATAAATGTTGTGACTTTGAGAACTTAAACAAAATGAAAGCATAGCTGATTTCCACACGGTTGTCATCCTGGGCGTGGCGGGGGCGGGGCAGGTAAGCATCTGTTTGGAATAATCACTTTAAAAACAGTATCGGGGGTGCCTGGGGGCTCGGTTAAGTGTCCAACTCTTTTTTTTTTGTTTGTTTGTTTATTTTTGAGAGAGAGAGAGAGAGAGAGAGAGACAGAGTGTGAGTGGGGGAGGGGCAAAGAGAGGGAGACACAGAATCCAAAGCAGGCTCCAGGCTCCAGGCTCTGAGCTGGCAGCACAGAGCCCGATGCAGGAATCAAACTCACAAACCATGAGATCATGACCTGAGTCGAAGTCAGTCGCTTAACCCACTGAGCCACCCAGGTGCCCCAAGTGTCCAGGTCATGATATCGAGATTCGTGGGACTGGGCCCCACATTGGGCTCTATGCTGACAGAGCAGAACCTGCTTAGGATTCTCTCTCTCTCTGCCTCTCTCCCTGCTCAGTCTCTCTCAAAATAAATAAATGTTTCTAAAAACCCAGCATCAGACTAAACAACCAACAGAAGAGAACAGGAGAAGCAACCAGGAGAATGGCTATAGCGTCTGTGACTCAATTACCCAAATTCGACAACCAAACCTCAAATGGCATCAGGTGGGGAGGGGACAGCTCAGGATGTGGTGTCTCCTGGCTCCAAATGCCAGCTGAGGCAGCCCCCTGCTTGTCCTCACCGCCCCTCGGTCCCTGGAAGGCCAGCAGCGATTCCTGCCCTGCTCTACCTCTGAGCCCTGGGCTCCTCAGGTGACCTGCATCACATCTTTGGACACTGTGAGCAGGGGTCCCTAGACATAGCAGACAACTGCTGAGCAGCCCCGCATGCCAGGAACTTTCCTGAAGGCTGTCCCATGCAACCCGGCCCCAGCAGAACTGATCCATGGTACCTGCTGAATGCATAACAGAATTTCAAGGGAGAGACCACCATCTGTTTTATGCTTCGGAAAACTGAAGCCACTCGCCCAAGCCCTCAGAGGCAGGCAGTGTTAGAGCAGGAATCTGAGCCTAGATTGTCTGAATCAGAAGCCTGGGATTTTCCCACCACAATGTGCTGCCGGGGGCCCCAGCTTCCTCTTATGTAAAATGATGTAATTTGATGACCATTACGTTTCCTGGCAGCTTCGATGTTGTGAGTATCAAGAACTCCAATGTTCTTCTGTCTGTCATCCTGGTCCCTGGAGGGGAGCTGCTGAAATTGGGAAAACGAGTATTTCTCGGGCAGAGAGAGGTTCAAGCAGAAAGGAGGGTGACTTCGGATCTCATGGGGTCCGTGCACCCTCTGGTTCGGGGGCTACAGCCTGGGCGAGGGGCCAGTGAGGTCACTCTGCAGGCTTTTCCCTCTGTACTGGGTGATGCCAGGGACATGAAGTAGTTCACAAACCAGGTCCCTGCCCTTGAGAAGCTTCCCTTCTCATGGGAGAGACTGAGGACTCGCTCTCATGGGACACACTTAAACTTCACTAAGAGGTAGGTAGAGTCTGGCAAACGTAAGAGATCAAGGGGGAGCTCTGAAGGCTGAGGTATGAAGATGGGCAAGTGTGCAGCCCACTGGGCCCAAAGCCAGGAGTCCAGCGTGATGGGTGGTAGGCAGCGGCCAGGGCACAGGGCGCCTTCCCACACTACTGCGGGCCTGTTCACTCTGTGTTCCTATTCTCATCTTACAGGTAAGGCACCGAGGCCCAGAGAGTCAGCATCTTGCCCAGCTGGGGTCACCCAGAAAGCCAGTGATGGGGCCACACCTCAAACTGCATGTACTAATACATTCTATTGACCCCAGTGGTGGGGGGGGGGTAGTCATTTTTAGCACAGAAGTGACAAAATCAAGGTGTTTCTGAAGTTACTTCATGCCCTCAGCACTTGCTGGGTGACCTCAGGCTGGTTTTTTTAGCCTCTCTGACCTCTATTTCCCCACCCTCTGGCAAATGAGAGTTGAGTGAGCTAGTAACATGAAAAGTGCTTGGCCTTGTGTGTGGCACATAGCAAGTACTCTAGGATCGTCACTCATTAGTGGCAAGGATTAAATGAGAGATGTGCACAAGCACGTTTCAGGCACTCAGAAAGCAGGAGCTATTTTTATTAGTATTAGAAAGCTGGGCTGGAGGCAAGGAGGACCCCTGGAACCCAGGCAGCACGTCAAGGAGCCAGAGATCAGGCAGGGGGCAGTAAGAAAGGAGAGGAGGGTCTCTGTCTCAAGGCAACCCAATGGGAGGGAGAAGGGAAAGAATCCAACTGCACGTGAGACAGGGGCTAGAGCCCTCCGGTGCTTTAGGAAAGTGAGGGAGCATGATGCCATGTCAGCAGCAGAAATGGCGGCTCCTCAGATTGATGCTTGTGGGGGGTTCTAGGTACAGGCTCTAAACTGTCAAAATGACACTCAAAATGACAAATATTTGGGATCATCTGTATCAAACTAAATAAATAAATAAAAGAAGGGGCGCCTGGGTGGCTCAGTCGGTTAAGCATCCGACTTCGGCTCAGGTCATGATCTCACAGTCTGTGGGTTCAAGCCCTGCGTCGGGCTCTGTGATGACAGCTCGGACCCTGGATCCTGCTTTGGATTCTGTGTCTCCCTCTCTCTGCTCCTCCCGTTTGCACTCTGTTTCTCTCTCTCTCTCTCTCTCCCTCTCCCTCAAAAATAAACATAAAAAATTTCTTTTAAAAAACAAAGAAAGAAAAACCCCGCCAGCTTTAGCTTTCCCTAGGTCAGCATAGCTTCTACACTGAGATAGGAGGAATTTCCGTAGAGAAACCGGGTGCTGCCAGGGGAGCACCAGTGAACAATCGAGCGGATAAGTGCCCTGGCCTGTCACCAAACAGCACCCGGGCTCGAGGTCTTAAAGATGCTTGCCCCTTGTTCTGTACTCAGTCGCGTCCCTCCCAAATTCCCACATTGAAATCCTAACCCCCAGTGGGATGGTCTTCGGAGACAGGGCCTTTGGGGAGGTCAGTGAGGTTAAATGAGGCTGTAAGGGTGAGGCCCTACTCCGATATGATTGGCGCCCTTAGAGAACGAAGAGCCTGCAAACAGAGGAAAGGCCGTGTGAGGAAGGCAGCCGTGTGCAAGCCAAGGACGGAGGCCCGAGGGGAAAGCATGATCTCAACTTCCAGCCTCTGCCACTGTGAGAAATACATTTCTGTTGTTTTAGCGCCCCTGGCTGTGGTGTTTTGTCAGGGCAGCCCAAGCTGACTGACACACTCCTGGAAATCAGAAGCCTCAGTAATACCAGTGAGGGCCACAGGGATGCTACGTGCTGGGAAAAAAATGGCTCCGTGTGGGAAGACTAAGCATCCTGCTATTTAGTAACATCTCTCGCCTGAAGCTTTCACTGGACAGTAAACTCTGCTGAGGAGCTCTCGGCTTCTTTTGCCAAGCACCCCACCAGTGTCTGGCACACAGCAGATGCTTAATAAGTGACCAACAGAAGAATGAACTGCAAACAGGCCATTGGGCTAGGTTTTATAATCTCTGATCTGTGAAGCCGGCCTCAGCCAGCATGCCCAGGCAGGGAGGTGCAGGCCCTGGGGCGGAGCTACGGGAACAGCGGCCTGCCCGGGGCTGACCTCTGCCTGTCAGAGGTCACAAACCAGAGGGCACAGAGACACCGCTGTGACCCCAGGAGGCAGATTACAGCCTAATATGCACTCTGATAGACCTGTCTGCAAGTGGACATCACCGGAAACGAGCTGGCAGTGAATGAAGGTCACCTGGGCAGGAGGGCTCCATGAGGTACAGCTTCCTGGGGAGGCCATGGGCCCGGGCAGAGGAACCCCTCCCTCTTGTAATCCAGGCTTGACACTACAGTGCGTACAAGCCCCGGGCTGGGTTTTCCATCCCCATCCCTCCCATGAATCCTCCTCTTCTGAAATTACCAATTCTCATGAGAAGCCACCTCAGCTTCTGCAGTGGGGAAACACACCTCAAGAGAACCTCTCTGTCTCTCATGAGGCACTGCAACGCAGGAGGTTCAAGGCCTAGACCGGGCAGCCACCACTGGGCTACTGGGGTCTGGCTGGTCTCTGGCCCTCCTGTGCCTCAGTTTCCCTGCGTAACCCACAACCAGGCTGACTAGGTGAAGTCCCTGCACAGAAGGCAGCTGACGGGTGAGGATGGAGCACATACCTGCTAGGGTGGGGGAAATGTAGGAGCCTCTCGCAGGCTGGGGGGTGGCCCCGGGGTGGTGGAGTGCCCGCAGGGAGGAAAAGGCCCTGGCGGCAGGTGGGGCCGGGGCCCTCTACAAGGTCCAGGTCCAGCAGGCTCTTCTCCGAGCCTGGGGTGCAGTGGCCGTAGCTCCCGTTCACTGTGCAAAGAAAGACAGGAAAAGGAGACAAGGTGAGTGGAGATGGCCTGCAGAGGGGTGCAGGGAGACGGCAGTCCCTGGGGCACAGCGTGGGACAGAGCACACTAATGTGGCCCCTGCTGCATCCGAGGCACTGAGGATTCCTTATTTAATGTCCATCAGCAGCAGCAGGATCAGGAATGAAGCCCCAATACTCAGATGTGTATGCCGACCTCCAGGAGCTGACGGACCCTGACCCAAGCACTGAGCCCTGACGACGTACCAACACCCCACTCGGTGCAGGGACAGTGGCGAACCAGGCCCACAAGCTCCTGCATCCTGAACATAACCGTCTACAACCCTCACGCTGGTCACCAAGCGCTCACATGACAAGGTGCACAGACACGTGCACCCGGGGCTGGCGGGCTGGGGCTGTGCACTCGATGGGCCAGGTGAGCGGCACTGACGTCTCTATGCCCTGGAGAAGATGGTTGCTTGCTTGTTCTTGTTCTCACCAAAGCTCAGTCTACATCATTTCCCACATTGCACCGTGCCACAGCTCTTCACAGCTCTATATCCTCCACGGTTCTTTGACAGCCTAACTGTCGCAGGCCCCACCTCGCCTGGCTACTGGGCTTTTATGAAGACTAATTGAGGGAGAAGATGTGAAAACCCTGAAAAAAAAAAAATTGTACGAAGTGTAACAAAACTGTGAGGCACAGTTGGTAGAAGCTACTTCCTCTCTTCGGGCCTCAGCGTTCTCTTCTACAGAGTGAGGAGGGTTAATCTGGAAGCTGTCTCTCAGTCTTTCTGTCCTGTCACCAGACAGTCATAACCCTAAAGAGGAAAAGACGTGGCCTTTGGGGCCTGATGGACCTCAGTGTGAGTCCCGACCGCCCCCACCCAAGCGTGTGCCTTGGACACATCCCTCCCCGAGGCTGACCCTCAGCTCCCTGGTGTAAAATGAAGGCAGGTGCTCCAGCTCTCCAGAGATGCCATGAGGTTTTGAGAGCTGAGGTGCAAAGCCCCCAGCACAGTGCTGGCACCTGGTAGGTGTGCTCCAGGAATGGAGATTGTTCTTGTCAAACAGCACTCTGAAAAGCATGAAGTGTCCTACAGATGTGATAAAGCAGTATTTTTTTTATATCTGTTTTATCTACTTTTGAGAGAGAGAGACAGAGGATGGGCAAGGGTGGGGTAGAGAGAGAGGGAGACACGGAACCCGAAGACAGGATCCAGGCTTTGAACTGTCAGCACAGAGCCCAACGCGGGGCTTGAACTCGTGAGCTGTGAGATCATGACCTGAGCCGAAGTCAGACGCTTAACCGACTGAGCCACCCAGGCGCCCCTGTGATAAAGCATTATTAACAGGCCCAGGTACTGTCGGGTACTGTCAACTTGGAGCAAGAGAAGCCGTTAAGATGAGCAGACAGTTGCCCCCAGGTCCTGAATTTAGCGGCCGAGGCTGAGGGTGAGGAGAACACAGTGGAAGCAGGACACGCAGGCGCTGGGCGCGGGCCGTGGTCTACAGCACTGTCTCCGTGGAGCCCCCACACTGCTCTCCTAGGGGGGTCTGAGTACCACCAGCCCCACTGTGCAGAGGAAGCAGAGGCTCAGGGAGCTTCTGTCCCTTGCCCGAGATCACACAGCTAGTAAGAATCTGGGCTGGATCTCTGGCTCAAGCCTGTCGGACCCAAACCCCAATTCGGAATCACTATGTGATAAAAAGTGGTCTCCTGGACAAAACTCCAACCCCATCCTCAAGGAGCCACCTCACCCAACCCTAATCCCAACCCAACCTGAAGCCCCAGGAGGCTGGAGACTCAGTGCTAAGTCGCTGCGTGCCTGCAGCTCTGACAGGTTCCAGGCACCCAGGCACCCACCGAGCACACAGCGGTTTGCAGCCGGGAGCAAAGTGCACCCAGGGCAGAGGAGGGGCCCAGTGAGCCTCTGCACTCCGGGCACAGGTGAGCCTGCCCGAGAGGGCACGTGGGAAGACTTGCTCAGAAGTGCCCGTCACCTTCCCTGGGCTCACGCCTGCTGCGAGGAACGCTCACTCCCGCCAGCTCTGGCTGCTGCTGGGCCAGCCCCTCACAAGCTTATTTTTTAATAACTTGGTTGGTTTTTAATTAAAAAGAAATCCCTGGTAACAAATGTGAATGGCCTGAGTTAATGAGAGCAGGCTGCCGCTCGTTTTGCTCTGGCTCTGCTTGGCGGTCTCTCCCTTTTCCAAATCGTTTTTGCATGCTATTTTATTGTCCCATTGAGGCAGACCCTGGGCCCGGGCCTCAGAAAACTGTGGATAACTTTATGACCATTAATAGCATTTGGAGCAAAGAGAGCTTAATCATCACACCCTGGCTGTTTTGCCAGGGTCTTTCTCCCAGAGTCTTTGGGGCGGGGAGGTGGTTCTGAGCTTCCTCTAAAAACCCACCAGACCCCTGGGGCCCCTGGGTTGCTTACCCTCCCTTCACTTAAGGAGGACGAGTGCAGCGATTGAAGGTGGACCCCCAGAAAGGTACCGGGGAGTCCAGTATTTGTCAAGCCCTTCCGCGGCACTGGGCACAGGGATCCCTTCAAGTGTCCATCCCTGCATGGCAGGTTTGTTCAAACCATTTTTCAGGTGAGGAAAACTGAGGCTTGGGGAGATTAAGTGCCTCTGACCAGGCTCAGGGGTCTGTGAGAGATGGGGCCACAATTCAAACCCAGATCTCTCAGACTTCAAAGCTTAAGTTCGGTCCTGCTGCCTGTCAGCCAATGGATGAACAACTGGGGACCCCCAAACAAGGGTCCCCACCTTTGATTCTAATGAAGATCGTGTTAGGGGTCTGGGGGGAAGTCAAAGTACAACCATCACAATGGCTCCTGAACTTTAGTCTTTGTGACATCTCTACCAGATGGATAGTACTACTCCAACTACAGACAAGCACATGAAGGCTCAGAGAGATCTAGTGGTTTACCCAAGGTCACACAGGGAGTAAAGGGTAGATGCAAACTCATCACCTGAATGGGAAAAAACAGTTATTACCCGACAAATAATTAAGGCCCATTGGCTTTTTCTCCACTGGATATAATAAGATGTCTTCCTACAATAAATAAACAAACCAGCTCTTGGAGGGAGGAAAGAAGGAGCCCCTCAGGTCACCATTTGGCACTGTTTAGGGCTCCAAGCCCTCCAAGCCCTTGTCTTGTGAGACGCATTTATCCACAGCACCCTGGATAAATGCATCAGCCTCCCTAACTTGCAGAGGAATGTGGACACCAGAGCTGGCACAGTCAGGGCCCAAACCCAGGTCTCCCAAAGCCCGTGCCAGACCCTTCCCTGGGCCACCAGCTTTCTCAAAGGCTGGAAGTTAAACTAGAGGCTATAACGTGTGTCCCGGAGATGCTGTTACCACTGCCCACCAAGGGTCCAAGTCAGCCAGGAGACCTCCCACTGGCCTCTGCCTACTGGCATCTTGCTTCTCTGTCCCTAAAGACACCCCAAGGACCACCTCTGCTCACCCTCCATCTTCAGAGAGCAAGGATGGAGCACTTCCTGCACAGGCAGGGGAATGAGAAGGGCACATTGGCCTTGCTGCCCTGAGGCAGGCTGGGGGTGGAGAGGTACCCAGGAAGGGGCTGTGCCACTTGAGCTAAGAGCAGATCCTGGACCTGGCTTCCATGGAAACGAAGATTCACTGGAGACTCGGAGGGTGAGGAAGTCCTATGTTAACTTTTACAAGTCAGTGAGAAATTCTGGAATGTTAGGGCTGGAACTCTTATTTTTAATTATTATCTAATTAATAATAGATGAAGAAACTGAGGCCAGAGAAGGAAAGGACCTGCCTTGGTCACACAGCAAATCCACAGTACAGCCTGGGGGCACCCCCGAGACTAGGTAAGGGTTTGGTTTAGTCTCCTCTTTAAGGCTCTATTTTCTCATCTGTAAAATGATGCTAATAGCTACTCACAAAGTTGTGAGGACGGTCACCCGAGATTTTGGACACAACGCCTTTGGCGTGGTGCCTAGCTCACAGCACTTGAAAAGAGAAATGACGATGGAACGATAATGGTTTTCTTCTCCTATTTACCAACGCGCAAGGCAAGGCCCCTGTATTCTATCCCGACTTTCAGGTCTGGACAACCCTGAGGCCAGACTCAGGGCAAGTCCCCAAGGCTCAGGGGTCACCAAATGCAGGACCGAGCAGCCTGGATGAGGTCACAGCCAGCAAATCTCAAGCAAATGACTCCAGTTACACACCAGAGAGTTTTGCAAATTACCGTAATGACTTGGCTATAAAGTGGTACCACATATAAGGTGACTCCCCACAAGAATTTTAATTTATGCTCAGACCTGCCAAGTCTGCATGAGAAGAACAATGATGCATTCAGCATCACCTCCTTGCCATCCCAGGAGCAGCCAGCAGCTGGGTCAGGGAGGCCTGCACAATGGTTGTTCCTTGCTCACCAACGAGCAGGTTTTTAGTGTCCACCAGATGCCAGGCTGGCGATTGGGCACCACACTTTATAGGAAACATTTCGCAGCCATCACCGATGAGCTCTACTACAACCTCCAAGAGTTTGCTGGGCAGGCTCAGGGGGGCAAGCAATTTGCCTAAGCTCACACAGCCAGCACAGCACTCAGACTTAGACTGACTCTTCTGATTCAGCTCTCTAGTCTAGCAAACATGTTTAATCTAACAAATGTTTCTGATAAAGGGCAAAGCAGGAAATGTCGTAGGTTTTGCAGGCCATGGAGTCTCTGCCACAACTACTCAGCAGTGAAAAACAGCCACAGACAATATGTAAACGAATGAATGGGGCTGTGTTTCAATAAAATTTTATCTAGAAAAACAGTTCATTGATTGTGCGGCTGTCATCTGCCAACTCCTGAGCTCATGCAGCAGTTAGAGACAAGGTTTTGCAGTTAGAAAGACAGAGATTCAAAATCCAAAACCACCATACCTTCTGGCATCTGTAAAATGGGGAGATTTTTAGAGGGAGGAATTGATGACGTGAAACCCCTGTAAAATACTGAA